AGCTTTAACATGTGGCCTCTTTTCCATCCACACTATGGTTTGGGTGATGTGCTGTTTTCCAAATTAAAAAAGCACAGTTAAAAATATCCCCCAAATAGCCATAAATAATTAATTGAATTGACGTTCGGGTTATATTTGTCCATACTGTCCCCCTTTTGCTAATCCAGTTTGAGTTGGGTTTCTGTTACTTGGAATCAGAGGCGTCTTGACTAATACTCTAAGTTTCAGGTTCTTGATCTGTAAAATAAGATTGTTTATTTTGTCCTTTAGATTCCACACATATGTAAGTGAAATTACATTACAACTGTCTTTCTCTGTCTTGACATATTCCACTCAGCACAATACCCTCCAAGTCCATCCATGCCACCACAGATGACAAGAACCCATTCCCTTTCATGGTCAAGCAATATTCCATTGTATATATGTACCACCTACTCTTTATCCTTTAAATTGGCAAAGGTTAAAAACAAAGAAAGAACCCCAAAAGCAGAAAGGGAAAGGCAACTAATAACTTATAAGGAAGCCCCGATAAGATTGTCAGCTGATTTTTCAAAGAAACTTTGCAGGCCAGAAGGGATTGGCATGAAATATTTAATGTGATGAAAATCAAGGACCTACAACCAAGGGCACTCTATCTAATAAGACTATCATTTAAAATCAAAGGACAAATAAAGAACTTCTCCAACAAGAAAATGCTAAGGAGTTCATTACCACCAAACCACTATTACAAAGAATGTTAGAGGGACTTCTTTAAGATGGAAAAACAAAAAATCAAAATTAAGAATAATAAAAATGGCAATAGCTACATATTTATCAACAATTACTTTTAATGTAAATGGATTAAATTCTCCAATCAAAAGACATAGGGGTCTGAATGGATAAGAAAACAAAACCCTTACATATGCTACCTACAAGAGACTCACTTCAGATTGAAAGACACACACAGACAGAAAGTAAAGGGATAGAAAAAGATATTTCATGAAAACAGAAACAAAAAAAATGCAAAACAAAAACTGAAGTAGCAATACTTAGACGAGACAAAATAGACTTTAAAACAAAGGCTATAACAAGAGACAAAGAAGGACCCAATAATCCCACTTCTGGGTATTTATCCAAAGAAACCCAAAACACTATTTCGAGGGGATGTGTATGTCTATTTCCTTTGCCAGGTTAGAAAAGTTTGTAGTTTTTATTTCTTCAAATAGGTTCTCAATTCCTTGCTCTCTCTCTTTTCCTTTTGGTACCCCTATAATGCGAATGTTGTTACGCTTGATGTTGTCCCAGAGGTCTCTTAAACTATTCTCATTTTCTTGGGTTCTTTTTTCTTTTTGTTGTTCCAATTGGGTGTTTTCTACTACATTGTCTTCCAAATCGCTGATTTGATCATCTTCTTCATCTAAGCTGCTCGTGATTCCTTCTAGTGCATTCTTCATTTCAGTTATTGTATTCTTTACTTCTGACTGGTTCTTTTTTATGGTTTCTATGTCCTTTTTTAGGCTGGCTATCTCATTGTTGAAGTTCTCATTAAGTTCCTTAAGCATCCTTATAACCATTGTTTTTGAACTCTTGTCTCTGGTAGATTGTTTGCCTCCATTTTGTTTAGTTCTTCTGGAATTCTCTCCTGTTCTTTCATTTGGGACATATTTGTTTCTTCATTTTGACTGCCTCTCTGTGTTTGTTTCTATGTATTAGGTAGACCTGGTAAGTCCCCCAGTCTTCGCTGGGTGGCCTTATGTAGTAGGTGCCTGTAAAGCCCTGGCACAATCTCCCTGGCCACCTGCTTCAGGTGCTCCAGGAGTGTACCTTGTGTGGGTTTGTGTGTGCCCTTCTGTTATATAGTTGAGACTTGATTGCACTTGGTATGTCCATGGGTAGGACTGATCCTTAGGCTGACTGGCTGTGGGGTTTGGCCACATCCGCAGCTTACAAGTTGCTGTGCAGGGTGCTTACCCCATGGAGCGGGATTTGTCCCAGTGGGCTCTGGTGCCTGTTGAGAGTACCCTTTGTGTGTAGCACCTGTGGGGCTAATTGGGTGGTGCTCTGCTGTGGTCTAAAGCCCATCTCTATTTATGTTGGTTCTGGGGCCTCTTGGGAGGGGCTCTGGGACAGGCCTACGTCACCCACTGCTTGTGACCTGCTGGGGAGTTCCTGGTAGAAGCTACAAAGTGATCTGAGGTTGGTCACTGCCTGTGCTGGACCTAGAGGTGTGTGGGAGAGGCCATGCTGAGAACCAAGGATGGCTGCCACCAGTACTGGGCCTAGTGTAGCTCTACAAAAAGCCAGGACACCCTGAGGCCTGCTGCCACTTGCCGGCTCCCTTAAGTGAACTGCCTTTCTTTTAGTCTTTATAGTGAGTTCATTCTTGCCACAGGATCAGCTGATAAGACTTGATCAGCCTTGTGGGATCTGAGAAATCTGAAGGTTATGTTTCATTCCTTTGAATCACATACAGATGAAACCAGGATCAGTGGTCACCTCACAATGAGACTGTTTTGGCTTCCAGTAGTACGAACCATAGACTGAATGTCTGGGATTTAAGTAAAATTGGAGAGAAACAATCCCCAGAAGATGCATAAGGTGGGCCACCAGAGTTGTTGTTTATTCATGGTGGTCAAACTGCCAAGATCTGATTTCTGTATCAGAAGACAAATTTATGCAAGTGTGGCAACTGGCAGAGAACATTTATAAGGAAGCGTAGGTCCTTATAAAGAAGCGTAGATCCAGAAGGACAAGGGTCTTTTATATATATACACTTCTTGTGGTTTTAGACTCCCTTTTTTCCCTCAACCCTGAGATTGATTTAAAACTGGTTTTGAGACACAGGTTTTGTTCAGCTACCCCTCTGTAATAGGTAGCTCCACAATACTATTAGACCAAATTGAGGGTGTTCTATAAATATTAGCTGGGGGACTTGATTCAGCAAAGCTACCGACTTATAAATTTTCTTCAGGAATTTTCTAGTAACAAATATCTAAGTAACCACTGAAATGGAAATATTGTGTACAGTTATTTTCTTTTTCTTTTTATGCTATATCCCTACGTTTTCCACACTCATTTAAGTCAAACTAGAAATAAATAATAGAGTGAGGTGAAAGTCTGAGCCATGAAGTACAAGTACGGCAAAATATCATTTTTATTCAGGAAATAGGGGAGACTTAAGTCATATAAATTCCTACTCTAAAATTTTCACACCTGACTTTGCAGGATGCACATTTTCCTATGTAGACCAGTCTCCTCTTGGATTCCATATCTTTACCTCTCACACATGGACAGCTGAGCCCACTCCAATCTGCTTTTTTGCCTCCATCATTCCAATGAAACAGTCTTACTAAGGTCAACAGTAAATTCTCAATAAATACCATGGCTATTTTTCTGTCCATGTCTACCTTGACCTCTCAGGAATATGTCACATTTGTCTACCTTTGCTCCCATTATATCACCATCCTCCTTTTTCTCCTACCTTTTTCTCTTCCGTTTCCTTTGCAGAATTGTCTTCCTCTACCAGTATATGCTGGAGTTCAAGGCTCAGTTGTAGATTGTTTTTTTGCTTTGTACCGTCTTCCTAGGCAAGCTCGTCCTGGTCTGTTTTCATGCTTATCAGGTGTACTCCAATGACTCCCCCAGTTTTAGCTCCACTCCAACTCAAAAATTTCCTAACTCCTAGACTTGTATATCTGATTTTATTAACATCTTAAATTGGACATCTCAAAGATGCCTCAAAATCCAGGTGGCTATGTATAAACTCATAATCTTCCTCCTCCCACCCCATTCTCTTCTTCTTGTGTTTCCTCAGAGAACAGCACCATTCTCTATCAAATTGTGCAAATCAGACACGTGATTGTTGACTTCACCCCCTCCCAGGCCCTTCATTTCCAATCCATCTCAAGGCTGCTGATTCCATGTATTAAATTTTCTTGACTCTCTCCACTTCTATCATCTCACCATCACCACCTTTCCAAACTGTCACATCTCAATACAGTCATCTCCCAAATGGTCTCCTGGCATCTCTCTGGTTCTCCTTCATTGGTGTCAAAACAAAGGGGTTGACTGCAACGATGCTCAGAACACTCCCTCTTGCTTCCTAGACTTCTAATCTAGACTACAAGATAAACTATGGTCCAAAGCCAGCCTGCCTTTCCAGGCTCATGCCACACCCTATCCCCCCTCTCTGCTATACTCCATCCTTTTTGCAGTTCTTTACACTCATCATAAATCCTCCAACCAATGGGCCTTTGTATGTGCTATTCCCTTTTACCAGAAATGCAATCCCTTCCCTTTCCTTAGCTCACTTCTATGTATTCATCAGATTTCAAACAGCCATCCTTGCCTCATGGACACCATCACTGAAAGCCAATCCTGGGCCCAGTTCTTTGGTGACATGCTCCAGAGAACCATGTTCCTTTTAGAATAATAAACTATGTTTTATCTAATTAATGTCTACCTTTTCTGCTAGACAAGATGTCTCTTGGGAACATAGGACTTCCTTTACACAAAAGGATTGTCTTTGTAGTGCCTTGCACAGTACCTGGCACATAATATACATTCAGTAAACCTTTGTTGAGTGAATGAAATTATCACTGCATGTCTGATGTTAGCAAATTTAACCCAGTTCAAGTCTGGAAACAGAAATGCAGAACAGAATAAGTCTAATAAACTTGGTCTCCATTTTTTAAACCAGTTTCACCTTTAGCCATTCCGCATATTCATTCGCCCAACAACTATTTATTGATGGAGTTGATGTGGAATGCTTGATGAATGCTGTTGCTTTTAAATACATTTAAAAAAAAAGATGACGACTAATGGTTTAAATATAGCAAGGTTTAAAAAAGTACTTTAGAAAATGAAACGGGAGAAAGTTTGCTTCATGTCAGAGAAAAAGATTTGTCCTTTATGTTATTTTAAAAGGGAGGAGAGGGTTTTCATATTTGGGAACTGGACAGGTCAGCACATACACAGAGATGCCATCAGTCTCCCACTAGTTCTAATATGCAACACAAAAGTAAAAGCATCAGGTTCTCTTTATTTGTAACAGGTAAAAACTGAAGTTCAGTCATTTAACATAGAATAAAAACAAGTGCAGTTACATCTGTAACAAAAGGACAGTGTGTGCTCTTCCACAGCACGTGTTTCTAGTCTCTGTGGCTGGGACTGGTCATCTGGTACATTCTTCCCCCACAGGACTTTCCTTTTCTCCAACCTTCTCACTGCATTCCTATTGGCATCAGTCATTTATTATAACCCTCCCCAAGTTGTATTTACAGTTAAAAAGAAATTGTACATGGCACAAATCAACTTAGCTGTTAGTGCACAGAAGTCACATAATCCTTATTGTGCTGAAATACTTTTCTTCAGCTTTTGAGAAATAATTATATGTTAATTTAAACATACACAGAGAACATTATTAGTCAAACAATGCCTGAGGCTCACTTGGTAAGACAAATTGTTTTGTACTTCTTAGCACAATAAAATATATCCTTGGAAACTGAGAAGAACCAAAGAATATTTAAAACAAAATCAGAAAATCACACATACTAATCATACAACAGGCTGACTGATACATTGAAATTCTGTCAAAATAGATTTTCCATGAGGCTTTCATTTTAAAAAGGTCAGGGGAAAAAAAATCCTAAAAGATGTATTTTATACACGTAGCTTTTTGTCCTCTTAAGAGTTGTTTCTCATTTAAAATTTATAAATAACATTTATTAAAAAAGAACTATTTACTACAAGAGGATTTATCTGTCTCAGTCAATTTATGGTGAGAGGTTATCAACAAATGCTTTGGATGCTTTAATGTCAAGAGGCTGGAAGGCAGACATACATTTTGCAATTAAATATGTGGCACTATATATTTCCTTAAGTGGAAACCATGTGTTTCCCCTATACCCTAATTTTAAAAAAGTATTTTTTAAAAAACTCATGAAACTAGTTTAATATTGACCACTTTTCTATTATACTCCTCCTTTAAATCTTTCCTAACATTTTCAGCAAGTCTCTGCTTAGTGTTTGGATAGCATTTGAGCATTTGGCCTGCCTTGTTGCATAAGAATTTTCCTCAGCCACCTCAGAAAGGCTGGACACGTCCATATCCTCCCATGACAAAGAAAGCTCCACACATGCCTCAGGTGTGGGGCGTAGGAAAGTGGAGTTCAGATTACCAACATGAAAGGCTCAGAGGCCAGGGGACACTTACCAAGACAATACAAAACCTGTTCAATTCCATCTATGGTCTTTTCTTGGGTCATTTAAATATGAAGCTACAAGTGTATTATTTTTTTAACTTCATGTGTAATTTCAAGAGTTCACTGAGATCTCAAAAACAAGAGAATACCTGTAGAAACTGTAGGATTTGGATAACGTATAACTTCTTACATCAATTTCATCAATTTTTTACTAGAAGAATGGTACTATTGGAGTTGGATTTTTGTCTTATGGTCTTCTTTACTACAGTTGCTTCCTACAAATTACATTTCATTTGTATAAATGAAATAAGAAGGAAGTTATACTACACCAACTAAAATAGGAATGATAGATTTACATTCTGACTTGAACACTTTGGCCAAAATTATAATAGAGTTCCCATTGGGGACCACCTACGAGCAAGTAGAGGAGTCCTATGTGTCCCTCCTTGGAAGAGTCAAATACTTAAAAACCATGACAAATTTGTAGCTCAGTGATGTGAAGTTCTTTGTCACTATTATAGAACTTTCATTTCATGTACTTCATTTGGTATAACCAAACCATCCTATATACTTCGTACAATCGTCTTTGAAAAGAAACATGAACCACTGTTTTAGAGAATTAAGTTTTTGAAAGAAGGTACTCTTTTTGAAAGAAAAAGTCATTTATGAATATGATTTCCTTTGTGTTCTTTCTTGTCAACTACCATTCAATGAACCTTGCAATGTAATTTTTTTTCTTATTTGAAAGCAACTTGCACACTTAACATCTTGTAATCTTCTTGGGGTGACTTTCCTTGCTCCACAAAACCCAATTAAGGACGCTGTACCAATTTACTCTTACTTCCTTCCTGTTCACTGAGTTTAAAATGGGTATAGGCGAGAATACCAAATAATGTACATAACATGCCAAGACCCTGATTCATTGACAGTGGATCTTTAAATAAAACATATCCTCCAAATAAAGTAATGCAGAACTTGAAGTGTCCAAACATGTTATAGCTGAGGTTCTTAGATAAGGATAAAAAGGAGTAACAAGCTAGATGTTACATTCACACATTCTCTCTCTCTCTCTCTCTCTCTCTCTCTCTCTCTCTCTCTCTCTCTCTGTCTCTCTGTCTCTCTCTCTCTCTCTCTCTCACACACACACACACACACACACACACACACACACACACACACACACACACACACAGAGCAATGGCTTCCTGTGGCTGGAAAGAATTGCATGAAACAGAGACTGAACAGCAGCCCCCCACCTAAAGAAAAACAGAAACATGAGGTGCTGGGTCAATCCTAGTTTCTACAGGTAGGTTTTAGCAATTAACCAGAGAAAGGAGGCTGCCTCAACTATCTTTGTTGACCTCTCCAAAAAAGAGAAAAGGAGCTATAAGGTTGAGAAAGGAATTCAAAGCAAGGTATAAAGAAAATAATTTGTACTGCAACTTATGATTATGTTTTAGAGTGCCAATTCTAATAAACTTCCCTTGGCAAGTGAGACTTCCCTTGGCAAGTGAGGTGAGACGTGTAAGGTGCCAGAGAGCTGACTCAAGATAAGCACATCCAGTATGCTTAAGTTTAAGAGGGAAACAGGGGGTAGGGGAGTAACACTGAGCACCAGTGACGCACCAGGCACTAAGCACCACATGTGTCAGCTGTAACAACAGTTATCAATAGCAGTACTTATGCATAATAAACATCTGCCAGGTGCTTGACACATATTCTCTCCAACACAACACACCAACATTGTCTGAGAGAATATGTGACAAGAATGACACCCAAGCACTCTTGTAGGGGCAAGTCAGACCTGAGAGCTCTCACAACTCAGCGGCACTCCACACTGCGATTCCTCTTCCTCCTCACTTGGTTTCTACGCCACTCTCCTTCCTTCCGCTGCAATTGTCCTTTCCCTGCCTCTTCTGCCTGGCTCCCCTCAACTCTCTGAACTAAACACTAAAGTGACCCAGGACTCAGTCTTTGGGTGTCTCTTCTTCTACTTGTTTGCTTGGTCATCTCAACCAGTCTCATCGCTTTAAACCACATCTACACACTATGGACTCTCTCTGGGCTATCTCCAGCCGAGACCTTGACCCTGAGCTCTCAGACTTGTTGACCAACAAATAAGCACTTACTCTGTCCCCAACATTTCATATCCTCTTTCCTGCTTTACTTTTTCTCCTAACACTGTATGCATGTGTATATTTTCTGTTTTTCTTATTTACACTCTGTCTTCCTCGCAGAATTTAAGCCCGTGGCAGCAAAGATTTTTATCTGTTTGGCTCATTACTGTATCTCCAGTGCCTAACATATAGTAGATATTCAATATGTAAATACTGAGTCAACAAAGGGTTTAGAGTGGGCATTCAAGGAATGTTTGCTAAATGAACAAATATTCTTAATCAGGGCACACATGGATGCCTTGACTTGGCAGCATGGGGCATGAGTTCTGGGACCAGACTGCATGGTTTGAAATCTGGGCACCACGCTCCTTAGCTGCGTGACCTTCAGCTACTTAACCTCTTTGCACCTTCATTCCTATCTCTGCAAAATAAAATGATAGACTTTACCTCACAGAGCAGCTGTGAGAATTAAATGCCTAATACACATAAGGTGTTTTGAAAAGTGCCTGGCAAAAAATAAACATTTATTAAGTGTTGGTTATTTTTTAAAAATATTATTGTTATTTATTGATAGTTGGCAAATATGCTGTTTTACTTTGATGACATCTCAGTGTTCACTCATTTATATAAATCAGTACACTCTGATATAATGTTACTAAACTATCTCTGATTGAAGGAAACCCGTTCTTTGCATTTGCCTGAGTGGAGCGGAGTGAAATGAGAAGAGAAACAGGGTGACAAGCAGAATATTAAGAATGGGCAGTTGAGTCTGATTCAGACCTTGAAGGTATGACCTCATTTCTTGAAGTAACATTGAGAAAAAAGGGCACACCCATATCCAAATAAGTGCAAAAACATACTCGAAAAGTCAGAGGTTACTGGTCAATTTCAAAGGTCTGAAATGATCTTTTGTTATCTGAATAACCACACCTCTACTTTATTATTACAGATAACTGAGAACTGATTGACAACCCAAGCATCCATCCTATTATCCACTCAACAGATATGTATTTAACCCCACTTTGTGCAAGAAATGGTTCTCTGTTAATTTTGATAAGGGAAAAGGTCATCTATTATGTAAGAAAATTAAAAAATGCTCATGATACAGAAAACTAACCCATTTTCCCAGCTCACATGTCTTTAAATTTCTACAGACACTAGTGTGGAATGAGATGGTTAAATACTAAAAATAACTCACTCTATTCAATTTAGGCCATGCAATAGTAAGTGTGAGATTCAAGGGAATGAATGTGATGGAGTTTTGGAAACGATAAAAGACTATGCATTTGTAAGTTATTAAGAAAAGGATACGTGACTGGTGAAGTGTTCCCAATGATCCAATAAATTGATAAGTTCACCATGAAAGCTATTACTCCAGAGAGCAGCACCATAAGCTACAAGTAAACCAAAAGAATCATTAATGCAAAGTAGTTTCAATCATTATAATCATCAGGTAAAAAGACATTTCATTAGGCATTTCTAAAAACTCAAATATCAACTATTAGGAACAAGATTTAAAAAAAGAATCAATTTGAAAGACGACAAGAATTGAGGGTAAAAGAGCAGAATGAATAGTATTCAGAAATGTAACTTTGTCTACAAAACTCAAAGGAAAATTCTCCAATAATATCCTGCTTCTGAATGTGAATTTCCAGGTTCATTTTTCTAATCAATCTAAAGAAAAATTATTTTGTAATAATTTCTTATTATAAAAGTAATACATGCACATTATAGAAAAATCAGAAAATGAAGATAAGCAAAAAGAATGTAAGGAACTCTTATAATCACAAACACCCACCACTGTTAATACTTCAGCATATTATCCTTCAAGATCTTTTTTTATTGAATTGCTCATATTTATTCTTATTTAAATTGAATCAATACGTGTTCATTGGATAGCTACAAAGCTAGGCCAGGTCTTGTGAGGAACACAATCTATTCTTGTCCTCAAAGAGCTTAGAAACCAGTTAAGGACATAATAGAAGTCACGATAATCATGGCTTACACTTACACAGTAACTTATTATGTGCCAAGAATTGTTGTAAATGTTTTACATATATTACTTCATTTGTTCCTCACAAACACTCATGAGGTGGCAAAATATTGGGTTGTCGGAAAAGTCATAATGCATTTTTGCAACGAAAAACATAGAAAAAATACATAATGACTTTTCCGAAAACCCAATATCTTCCCTTTTTTATAAATGGGAAAATGGGGCACAGAGAGGTAAAAGTAATCTGTCTAAGATCACACAGCTAGTAAATGTCAGGGCTGAGATTTAAACCCAGGCAATCTGGTTCTGGAGTCCCTGTTCTCTGCTATGCTCCGTCTCAGCCACATGAAAGTGAGAGTACAAAATGCAAGGTTTCTAGCTAGCTCATCAGTCAGCAGACAGGCAGCAGGTTCTATGTGAATCGATACATAAGACATGCCATTTTGGGCTGAAACAGCAAGAAAAGTCTTTAGATCTCAAATGTATGTATAGATAAAAGAAGAAGGGGGGTAGGATTCCAAGAGAGGGAGCAGTATGGGCCAAAACATGGAAGGATGCAAGCACAAGGTGTGTGCATGGAACAATGAAAAGGCCAACTTGGCTGAGGACAGGGGGACAAAGTAGGCTGAACCACTGTACAAATACAATGTTCTGTTCAAATTTATCCCAGTATTTTATTTAAAAAGTCAAAGTCATCTCCTATTTCTAAAATAAGAGAGTTTAGATAAAATATTAGTTATGATTTGAATTAGTAAGTGTAAATTCCAAAGAAAAAATATGTCATATTTGAAGAGTCCTTCTGTCCCATGTCAGTTTTATCAGTTTTAGATCAGGGCAGTCCTAAGAGGATTGGAGGAGTTGGATTTGTCTCCTATTTAGGTAAAAAGAGATAATATCTTATTTGTTTCATAAAAGTGATGCCAATTAGATTTCAACTAAAAGAAACTTGCTCCTTAAAGATTTTAAAAACTGTTTCTAGAAATATATCATTGTTAATTTTATTGAGTTCAAAGAATGTTACATACATATTTCCTGATGACTTAGCACATCATTCAAAACACAAGGTCAACTTTGTGACAATGATGCCCTCTAGGGACACTGAAGAAGAAAGATGACTTTCTCTCATTAAATGTCTTCAGACTGCTGTGCATTGTTTCTTTGACTCTTTTTATGGCCTTCCTGCTGCTCTCTTTCAAATCTGTCAAGGGCCTTATCACAAACAGCCTCTCCCTTTCTAACTTAAGGTGTCTAGTTGCAATGGTTTGAAGACCAGATAACCAAGCTGGCTAGAGCTTTTGTACAATTAAGAGGAAATATCATTTGACAGATGGTCCAGTGATTATATGCCAAAGCATATGAACTTGAAACAACTATCAATCTGCTCAGAGGCAGCACAGCGGGTGGTTAAGAATATGGACGCTGGAGCCTGAATGCATGGATTCAAACTCTAGCTCTGCTTACTACCAGCTCTGAGATCTCAAGTCAGTTACTTAACTCTCTGTCTCTCAGTTTCCTCATCAGTAAATATAGGGATAATAATAGTATCTACACAATAAAGTTGCTATCAAGATTAAGTAAGTTAACATCTGCAAGCTGATTACAATGGTGACTAGAACAGAGAAAGGGCTATGTAAGCTTAATAAGTTAACGTCACCAACAAAAAAGACATTGCTATTGACTGTCCCAAAGGTTCAAGTTAGGGGAAGCAGACATTCCTTCTCTAAGTGGGGAGATTATATTTTCTAATTTAAAATGTCCCCAAAGTACATAACCCTTTGATCTGGCAATTCCACTCTAAGGACTCCATTCTATAGAAAAAAGTACCAGTCCACGAAGACACACATACAAGGATGTTCACTGCAACACTGGGCATAGTGGTCAAGAGCTGGAAATGGAGCTGTTACACAGCAAGGAAAAGAATGATATGAGGTAACTACAATATGGCCTCAGGGATAGAAAAGACAGTCTGGGGAATATAATCAATAATGTTGTAAATATTTCTTAGGGGGCCAGATGGACTCATGTCTTGTCCACTTCATAGTCGGTGTAGAGGCCTGACCACCGCACTGTATTTCTGAAGCTGATGTTGAATAATAATGTATGTCAACTATAATTATATATACATATAGTCACGGGACATGGAGTAGAGAGTGGGAATGGAGTCAATGGAATTGTAATAGATAAGCATGATATCGGGGGTGGGAGGGCAGTAGATGGGGAGAGGGGAGTTGTTACTTTATGAGGGTGAAAAGGGTAACTATTGCATTGTTCTGTATGCCTGAAACTAACAATAAAAAAATTTAAAAAAAAAAGAAAAAAAGAAACAGAGCATTGAGATAAAAGCAACAGAATAAAAAGCCAGAGAGATGTAAAATAAAAGTGTTGACATCGTGAAGTGTAACCTGTTTTTTCTCTAACAGCAGAAATATCAATCTTGACTTGGCTAAGCACAGAGTTAAATCTGGGACAAATATTCAGGGTTAATGTACACTTTGACATTGCGTGTATAGAGGGATGGTTTAACTTTGAATAAAGATGGGCTGCCAATGTGAAAAAAAAAAAAAAAGAATGATATAAAGGGACTTTCCTGAGGTATTGAGAAAAGTCAGATCCATAAAATTATGTGATATGACTCCACTTATGTAAAAAGAAACAAATGTTTACTTTATGTATATATGTGTGTGTGCATGCATGTGTGTGTTGATATATGGATATGTATACCATGGAGAAAAATACGGAAGAACAAACACTAGAATGTTGACGTGATTTACTTCAAGGGGCAGGGATGAGGTAATGAGATGTTGACGTGTGTATGGGTAGGAGGACTGGGGGAAAAACATCTAGGATAAAAAAGAGCATATGTGATAAGGTTCCATGTACGCAAAATCACACACACACACATACAAACACACATGCATGTGTGTCTGGTTATAATAAAAAAGAAATCCATGAAATAATCACCAAAATAGTAAAGGTGATTATCTTAGTTTGGCAGGATTCCAGGGAACCTTCATGTTCTTTATATTATTATGTATGTTCAAAATCTATACAATGAGGAGGTACTAGTTATATTATTAAAACAAAATCAATAAGGCTATATTTTCATTGCAAAAAAAATAAAAAGAGATGCCCAAATTATTTGTGGGCTGTAGCTTGGAAAGGTCAGAACCATAACCAGGCATCAGGAGACCTGAAGTCTAGTCTCGGTTTTGCCACTGACCCTGACTGACCATAGGCATGTCCCTTGCCCTTTCTGTGCCTCAGTTTCTTCATTTAAAAAATAATCCTCACCTTGCCTCCCTTAAAGGGTGATTATAAAGATTAAATGTGAGACTGGATCTGAGATAGTGCTCTGAAAATTAAAATTATATTAATAATGGATGGATTATTATGATCTTGTTCCTTAGACACCAAAACAATTAGAACTCACCAAAGCAGAAACTGACCAGGGACCAAACAGACCTCCTTCTCCAAACAATGGTTCAAAGAAGGGCACGGCGACCAGCAACATGGCAGAGGACATCGGGGCCTGGTAATACAGCAGCTGCATCGAGTTCACTTGCAACTCATGCTGTTTGGCTCCTACCCACTGAAAATTCGGAGATAAAACCCATTAGGCAGAAAACAAATAGCATTACTCAATAAAGGGAAGATGCAACTCTAGCCACAAAGATGGGAATGGGGGCCCAGGGCTGGGGGAACGGAAACACCTAGTTATTCTACAAGATTTCAAAGATCAGTAATATCCACACATGTCTTTTAAGTACCTTGGAAGAAAGGAGCTTTATAAATTCAATGTCTGGTCATGAAATTTCTTCTCAATGATAAAAAAGGAGAAAAAAAAATCCTCTCTTCCCTCCTGATCCTAGCAAATGAGGAAAGTCAATGCAAACAGGGGCCCACAAGTATCGGAGATCTCAGGAAGAGATGGCAGGAATGGAAATTTTGGTGGTAAGTAGAAATACGGAGGCAGTGTCAGACTTCATTTCTGTCTAAAAATGGCCCTCCAAAAGAAGACTGGGGATAGGGCAACTAATTAGAGACTGACAGGAACCTCAGGTATTCGAGTGTGTGGCTGCCAATGTGTGGCTAGAAAGGCATGTGAGATCTTTTCACTCACTTTAGAAAACCCAATCAATGGCAGAAGGAATTTTCTTCTTTACAGGTGACTTTTCTGCAGGTAACCCCCTCCACTACACCTCAAGAAATGAGATGATCAGAAACCCCATTCAGTACAACCAATATCTCAAAGCCTCAAATCCCATCAGTCCTCAAAATGCTCACAAATATGACTGTTTAAAGAAAGCTTGATAGTGCTGTTTGAATAAGATCTGGCAAAAACAGCCGGGATTTTGAGTAACTGCTCCTACATAATTCTTTTTCCTGTAGGTCTGGGTGTCTTGTTACACATACTCTATAGAAATTCGCCAAGACAAAAATAGAAGAGCAGGAAATCTGAAACACACTCCTGCCAGCCTTAACTAAGAGTCTTCTGTGAATATGAAGGACAAAGAGCTGATTTTTCTGCTGCTGGCTCCTGGGCACTGCAGTGAGCAAAAGTGTATGCCTGCCCCCTCTGTTCCTTTAGCAGAATCACCTGGAATGTGGTGCCTCTCAAGGCCTCTACTTTCCCTTCCTGCAGTGCAGCCTGGCTTCTGCCCACCTCCCCTCTAATGAAGCTGCTCCCCCACAGGGCACCATCATCTCCAATGGTCACATCTAGACTCCCCTCCACACTCCCCTTGCTGGAGCTCTCTGTAGAACCTGAAATTTCTCTTGGATGAACTTGACCTCTGATTTGCACTGTTTCCTCACTCACCTCTTCCTTTTTACTATTTTTTTTTTTTTATTAGCTGAGCCATCCTGCCACCTGTTGGCAGCTCAGCGGCAGCTCAGCTCAGGCCGGGAATCAAACCGCTGTTGCTCAGAGTTTGCATTCTTGAGCGAGCTCTTAACCAACTGAGCCACTCGACCGGCCCTTCTTTTTACTATTTTTAAAGTAGAAGTCTGGCCTTCCTCTTTTATCCCCATCTGATCTCTTTTACTATCCACTGACTGACATCTGTAGCTCTGACCTCTTTTCTTGAACATCCTTAGACTCACATCTTCAACTTTTACTGGCCATCTTCACTTAGATAATCTGCAGGGACTTGTTTAAAATCAAGCTCATTTTTCTTCTCCAAATTAGTTCCTCCTGTGTTGCCCCAACACTTATATATAGCCTCCTCCAAGGATCAGACTCCTGACTTTCCTCGCTCTCACATTCAGTCAGGTTCTACTAATTCTTTCTCCAAAAGGTTTCTGGAGTCTGTTTCTCCTTTCCATGCCCACGACTACTGTCCTTCTTTAAGGCCTTCCTGACTTCCCCTTGCACCATGGAGAGCTTCCTAACTGCTCACCCTTCCTTTCCTCTTTTATTCACTCTTCATTGCCACCAGAGTTAATTTTCTAAAACACAGGGAATGATCGAGTCACTCCCCTACCTGCACCCCTTTCCTGGTGCCTGCAAGGATGAAGAGCACACGTTCTTAGCAAGACATTCAAGACTCTGCAATCGGGTCTCATCCACCCCTAAGCCTTGTCCCTCCAAAATGCCACAATAATCTCACCAAAGAAATCAAGTTCTCCAAAAATGCTCCATACTTTCTCACGTCATTGCAAAGAAAGCAAATTCGTAAGTGTCCTTCAATTTAAATGAACTTTTCCAGAAAGACTTAACCTCACCACCCTCTTGTAGAACTGCCACTTCCTCCCTGGTATACCTCAGAACTTTCCTTATAACCTGAGCTATCCTGCTTGTGATTAGCTGTCTACTTGTGTTTCTACAATGCTGGATTGTAGTTGCTTTTCAACACTGTAACCTCAAGGCTGAGCATAGAGCAGAAGAAATATATTTGCAGAAAGAATGAATGAGTCAACAGTCTTTATACAACTAAAGCTAACAGCTGATCACTCATCTGTTAACTCCTTTTAAAGCCGCAGCAGTATAAGAAGAAATAACTTCGAAATTATACCTGGATACAATGGGAAAATAGAACTTTCTTTAAAATGCATTTTTGGGGAATATACCTATTCTGTAACAGTACTTTTACCATTTACTGATAATGGAGAACTTTGCCCATTAGTTAGTTTACAGTCATTCTTTGGTCAATCTCATTTCAAATATCTACCTGAGGGATATAGAATCCTTTGATTCTAATCTATAGCAATTTTGAGACTAGTGTGAACAAAAATGGTCATATCTGCATGGACAGTGAGTACTCTGAATTGAAATTATATACAATGAATGCAATAAATTCTAACGTTCAACAAATAAATTTCTTGCTATACTATTTAATAAATATTTAATCCATACTGGGCAAAAAACAAAAGTTCATTTAGCAAAAAAGATTAAGAAAGTTCATTTACTGTATCTAGTAACAAAATTTCTGAATGAAGTACACCCAAATACAATTTTCTTAAAGCACAAAGCTGAGCTTCCTCTGATTATGGTCTGCAGAAAAAGACAGACTATCTGGGAGCCAAGTGACAAGACTGAGTGGGTGCCTTCCTTTCACGCCACTGGGGTCTGTCTTTAGACTGCTTCTCTGCCACTAAAATACTCAACCCCAGGATTTTTACATAACAATGTTTCTGAAATGATCAGTATTAGAAAGTTTAAGACGCTAAGGCTGTATTATTAAGCCTTAACACTCAACAAGAATGTCTTAGTTTATAACCACTGGATGATTGAGAAAAAAGTAAACTTGGTTACACATTTTGATTCTGATTTCCCCATGCAGGCACACCCAGAATTTCCTGTCCAAGGTTTTCAGTATAGAGAAAATACTGTTTCACTGTACCTTACACACCAAGTTATTTTTTTCCAACTATATAAGAAACAAAAAACATACTTGTTTGGATTTTATGGGAATGAGAAGTAGATCTATGAACAAATTTTGAATAAATGCCTACTATAGGCGAGGCACTGTGCTAGTACAAGTGAAGTACCCATTGCTATAAAATATTGATATAGACAAATTATTCAAAGCTAATATACAAGTTGTGACAGCAGCATACTTTTTGAGGTAAAGATTTATAAATCTGAAATTTTCCTTTCCCATTCAAATTTTTGCAAGTGTACTACTCCTTCACAATAATGTTATAATTAAAGAGTAAATGGTAAATGTAATCAATGAACTAAGTCCTTAAGTAAAAAGTCTTACTATGCATTTTGCAAAGATTTCCCAGAAAATAATATAACATCACCCCAAACTCAGACTGGTAAGCACGGGTATTATACACTTACAAACAGGTAGGTAGGTATTTCGTGAGCATCATACACCCAAGTTTCTGTCTCCTTTCTTCTCTTCACCTTGAGTCAGACAATTTAAGCAATTATGCTTTCTTCCCAACAGTCTATTGTCTCTATACTGTATTTTCTAAACCTTGGGATACAGCTTCAAAATTTATGAAATCTGCTAAAAAGGCACATAAAGAAAAAAAAGTTACCAACCACTTGATAAAGAGATGTAACTAAAACACCAAGAGCAGCAAACACCATTCCAAGGAAATTAAACTTCACATCGTAATAAGAATTTAGGATTACACCTAAAGTTATAGGAATCTGTAAAGAAAAAGAGGTAAATGTTGTTCAGATTAAATTCAAGATTATTCCTTTCACTGTGTCTTACAAGGTTAATCATAAAAACATCACTGCGAAACAATGAAACCTCTGTAAATTTTTCTTCTTTTCTATTTAAAAAAACTGTGAATCCTGTTTCCTCAAAGTGAAATATGATAATTCCACATTATGTTCACATTTAATTCTATTTAAAATTTTGGGTAAAACAATGGGTCAATGCATTGCACTTTGCAAGAAATGACTACCACATGCATGCACATAGGCATAAAAGAACCCAAACTATTGTCTAAAACAACACATAAACATAAACAATCAGATCTTAAATATTATGTTATTAAGCGCTAAAATTATTTTAGTCCATTTCCTTTTATTTAAAGATGTGGAAACCTTTGCAGCACGCTGCTGCTGACATAGTCTGAGACTTATAACTCATGCTAAATCTTTAACGTTTATCATACATGATTTGAGTCCCCTGGGGGAGGTGGGCAGTTTTCGGTGTGAGCTTTTGCAGATATTCTGATCCACTGAACTGCACCACCCAATACAGCTTTTCTTACCGATCATAACATTTAAGGATTTCTATCAAACAGTAGTTATTAAAACACACAAGCACACTTCTAGGCTTAAAGGCCAATAGAGTGCCAAGATAGCTTTTTCCCACCTCCCCCAAATAAGCCTTAAATTCACATGCTCACAGATGATACATAAGTGGATTTCAAGATGATGGGAAAAAGCGTGGCGCAACGTTCAACATTCAAATTTCCCGGTGAGAAAGACGGTCCAGGAGGTGAGTTGGTAAAGAGGTGCGCCTTGCGAAGCTGAAGCTACTCACCAGCGTGAGCTGTATTTTGGTAGAGAAGGTTTTCTTGTAGCAGAGGGTCTGGATGACTATGATCACCGGCGTGGTCATGGCCTTGGCCAGCTGATAGGTGCCTATGGTGTTGTTCTGCAGAGAGAGGTTGGTGAAGACCACGAAGCCACAGAAGCTGAGGGCCAGGAGGAGGAGCTTAGAAGGCGGCAGACTTTTGGGCGCAAAGATGTCCAGCTTCTGGCAGATGTACAAGCCCAGCCAGGTGACCACAAAGTGTACCAGGGTCAGGGTCATGTTGGGGAAGCCGTAGTGCACATAGATCCATTTGTTGAGGAACACAATGCAGATGGACACCAGCAGGTTGAGCAGGAGCCCGGCAGCGATGCGCCCGTTGCCCCGCACTCGTTCAGCCAGCGATGCCATGGCCCCCACGAACCCGGGCTCTTCAGCCTCCGAGAGGGACGCCCGGCCTGTCTCCAGCTGCCCTTGCCCTCCGCCTCAGCTGCCGCCTCCTCGCAGCCGCTGGCTTCAACTTCTGGCCGGGGAGAGGGTCCCAAGAGAGCAACAGCAGCGCACACATACTCTGCCACCGCCCACCGAGCCTGAGACAACGCGGCAGAGCGCCCCACGCTCTCCGCCCCCGGCCACGTGACTCGGGGAACCGGCACTTCCGCCCCCCAGCTAATATAAGGGCAGCCTCTACCCTGCGCAGGCGCGTTAGGCTCTAGGTGAGGAAAGTGGCTTCCTTGGTTTCCTATACCTCCTTGGTCACTTAATTCCGACCCTGGCTAGGCCTGTCTGGGATCCCTTTCTATATGTTTGACATTTCCTGTGTATCAGTTGATTCTATTTGCTAGATAGCTGTTCTCAAGCTGGTGGAGTGAGCTGTGCAAACACTGTTAGTCAATTTTACGTATGAGACAGGTGCGGAGCAATTTGTAGTCTACACTGGAGAGGGGAAAGCATTACTTCTTGAAAGCGCATTTTTAGATATTTTATTTTAAAACTCCAAACATGCAGAAGAGTAAACAGTATGATGAACCTTCATATACTCATGTTAGCATGCTATTCAGACTTTCTTCTTTTTGAATCAATGTTTGGCCTTTTATTTCCAGAAAAATGTCCATTTTACTTTAATGTTCTAATATATTTAAAGTTGTATATAGTATCCTACCATATTTTGAGTTTATTTCATCTGCTGTTACAATTATTCTAAACATTATGCATTTGAGCTTTCTTCGTCTCTTGGCTAGCCTTGTCAGTAATCTGTTGGTTTTATGGGAACTTTCAAAAGATTACTTTTACTGATTTTGTTTCAAGTCATTACTTTTTCATTCTAACATTTCCCCCTAATTTCTTGAATAGAATGTTCAGTTCGTTTATTTAAAAATGACAGGATTTAAGGTTTTTTTCTCCCTGAGAATAGCGTTGCCTTGCCTACAGTCCTCAGGACAATGTAATATCATCATTGTCCATAATTCCTAGCCAGTCTGACTATTTTAATTTCCTTTTTGATGTAAGTATTCAAATATTGAGCACCTGCTTTGTGCCAGGCACTGTTTTGGGCACTTGGGAGATAATGGAGAGTAAAACCAACCAAGACCCTTTCTCACAGAACTTCGTGAGAGAAGACTCTACTAAGCAGTTATAAACCATAATAAATGAATGTTCTAAAGTAACAAAATATGGTCCTATGAATAAATAAGAGAAGCTGATCTAAACTTAAGGAGGGAGAAGTAGTCAAGGGCTTCCCTAATGAAATAACGCTTTAACATTTGAGTCAGAAATTAAGCAAAGTCGCTCTTTCCATCTACTGCTACCACAACGAGAGGAGCTGTCGCCATGTCCGCGTATCTACAATGGATGGTCATGCGCAACTGCTCCAGCTTCCTGATCAAAAGGAACAAGCAGACATACAGCACTGAGCCCAATAATCTGAAGGCCCGCAACTCATTCCGCTACAATGGGCTGATTCACCGCAAGACGGTGGGCGTGGAGCCAGCGGCCACCGGCAAAGGTGTTGTGGTCGTCATGAAGCGGAGATCTGGCCAGCGAAAGCCAGCCACGTCCTACGTGCGGACCACCATCAACAAAAACGCCCGAGCCACCCTCAGCAGCATCCGGCACATGATCCGCAAGAACAAGTACCGCCCGGACTTGCGCACGGCTGCCATCCACAGAGCCTGCGCCATCCTGCACAGCCAGAAGCCCGTGACGCTGAAGAGGAAGAGGGCTTGCCCCACCAAGAGTTCCTGAGCACCTCCCCTCCAAAACAATCAAGTATAAAGCATCAGCCAACTTTCTCAAAAAAAAAAAAAAAAACAGAAAAAAGAAAAAAGAAATTAAGCAAAGTCTAAATAAAGTCTACCTTTCTTAACATGATCTTTCTGATAAGCTTTTCTTCCTATCATGCCACCAAACTCTACCATCTAATTATATACTGTGTACACAGAGGGTGCCAAAAAAATGTATACACATTTTAAGAAAGGACAAACCTGTATTAAAATCGTAATACTCGGGACGGCCAGTTAGCTCAGGTGGTTAGAGTGCGGAGTGCAGTGCTCATAACCAAGGTTGCCAATTCGATCCCCACATGGGCCACTGAGCTGCGCCCTCCACTATACTGAAACAACTAATTGACTTGGAGCTGATGGGTCCTGGAGAAACACACTGTTCCCCAATAAAAAAATAAAATTGTAATACTCAATATATACTGATAACAAAAGATGAATATATCATGTGTATACACCCATGGTATTTATATTATCCTCCTCCCTTCCAGTTTGGATCTACAGAACCCTACCTGATCAGTGCTTTATTACTTTTACTCTCATCTACTTTCCAGTTATGAACCTAGGCATTAATTAGCCTATCTTCATTTAACCTACTCAATTCATTGTCTCCTTGTAATTATAGATTTAGACTGATAATCCTAGCATGGATAAATTATATTTTTTATCATTCCTCTAATATTCCAAAATAGTTAGAATATGAACTCAACTTTGGGTTAGAGATGAAAATATCTAGTGGATTTAGTGGATTCCAAGTGCTTGTTGGTTTAGGGTTACTGACCCTAATCCTGTCATTCAAGGCCTTCCTCAGCTTAACATCATCTTTGACATTCATCCAGTTTCTCACTGTTCCAGAATCTGTACTTCTCCAGGCTGATTTAGTTGGTTAAGTGGCTTTCTCCTCTTTCACCAAAGTGCAGGAGCCCTAACCATTACTTGTCCTGAAATGTGATTATTATCCTTATTTTCATTTTTACGTGATGAAAATAGATTCATGGCTGTTAATCTTGCAGCTAAAATGGAATGAAAGATTCAAACCCAAATTTCCCTGGCTCCCTAGCCCATTTTCCTTTTTTATTATGGAAAATTCCAAACTTCAAGCGCAAAGTTAAAACAGTATGGTGAACCCCCTAGTACTGATCGTCTTATTTCACCAACTGCCATTCTTCTTTCATGTATACCCACTCCCCACCCATCCAATTTTTAAAAGGCAAATTTACAAATCTTAAACTGTACAATTTTTGACAAATGGATGCACCTATGAAACCCACACCACACCCGTTAAAGATACAGAACATTTCCATCATCTCAGAAAATTCCGACCCCATCCCCAGGAAGCTACTGTTCTAATTCTTTTCACCATAGTTTCCACTATTCTAGAACTTCATATAAATGAATCATATTCTATGTATTCTTTTTGTGTCTAAGTTCTTTTGTTGATTAGATCAATTCTTTCCTTTATATATTCCTTAGTATTGTTTTGTATGAACGCACCACAATTTGTTTAGCCATTCTCCTACTGACAGTGTTTGGAATAGTGCGGGTCAAGTTTATTTATTTTCCATATGGATATTTAGTTGTTCTGTCACAATTTACTGAACTTCGCCCAAATCTTTGATTTTGAAAAAATTTAAATCTAGTTAACGTTTTGGCATATTTGCTTTATCTTTGTAGACTTATTTTAAAGCTATACCATTTCAAAGTACAGGCTTCATCTTTAAATATCTCCTAATAAGAACACTCTTCTACCTAGCCACAATGCCATTATCACACCTAAGAAAATTAATACTAATTCAATCATCCCAAATAATATACAATCTATTTTCTTGCTGGAATATTGATAGGCAGCATTGTGTTAATCCTGTATATCAATAGGAGGACAAGGGACATCTTTACTATCTTGAGTCTTATAATTAATAAACACGGTGTGTCTCTCCATTTATTTTGCGCTCTTTTTTGGTTTCTTTCATCAGCATTTTGTAGTATTCAGCATACAACTCCCATATGTGTTTTGTTAGGGTTACACTTTTTTATCAGTTCATAATGCTCTACCTCATTTTAAAAATGAATACATAGTAAGATATAAAAATTAAAGGAGTTTTGATGAATGAATATTTCATCATTGGATCACTTTATTTTTATTTTTTTAATTATTTTTTATTGTGAAATACACATTTTTTAGAATTATTTCCAGCTGTACAACACAGTGCAATAGTTATACTTTTTACCCCTCGAGGTGACAACCCCCCTCCCCCAATCTGCTGCCCCACTTCTCCCCCAATATCATACATATCTATTACAATTCCCTTGACTCCACTCCCACACTATAATCCATGTCCCATGACTATAT